GCGGTTGAGAGGATTGACGAGGGATGGGGGATCTTTTAATAGAAGAACGGCGAGGCCATGGTGTGAAGAAAGCTAAAAGAAGTCAGAATCGCCTATGCAGCTCCTTTCACAAGGGAAATCCTCCAGCATGTGGACCTGGAATGTTAGAACTTTATCAGAGAAAGGAACTAGCGAGTGCCGTTTTAAGTGTGGTGAATTCATAGACAGAGGCGAAGAAAAGGTGCGGGGGTGCAGACCCCCTCAGGTGTCATCAATGACAGGGGCTTACCAAATCCCTGTGTGTGTATGTGTGTGTGTGTGTGAGTGAGTGCGTGTGGTTTGGGGAGGGGTGCTCATAAAAAATATGTTTTGCACCAGGTACCACCTGACCTGGCAACGCCACTATGGGCCGAATGCGACAGCAAAGGATATAACGGCTTATCCTGAGTTTCTTGAGGGCCTTTTCTCCACTGGGACGTAAAGAACAGAAGCAGAATATCCAGGGGAGAGCAACGAGACGCATTTAACAGTTACGTGCCTTGAATACCAGTCTCTTGCCAAAAGCGCTTTCGAACGTGGGGCTTCAACATTAGAGTTTGGTCGCTAGCACTTTTTCATTTCGGTCTCAAATTACTGATGTCTTAGAATGTCAGCATTATATACTTGTCTTTGGTCACTTGAAACATCAGCCTAAAATACTAGTCTCCACTTCCTGGTGACTTCAGATACCGACCTCGAATGTATATCGAATTATACACTATGTCGTTCCTTTGTGGGATGCAATTTATGGTTATTTGAAGCCCCACACTGTCTTTTACCTGGGGCCCTGAATATAACTGGGCTAAAATTGTGGCCATAACGGCTGAAAGGGGTTTCCGGGACCTCTCCACTGGTGATCCTCATCCGCTTAGTGGCACTTTGTGTCACCGGTTTTTTTATCGCTTGTGTAATTTCCTGGTGGGGTACAACAATCAAGCAAGCAAGACCTCAAATATAGCACATTAGCAACCGTCCAAATATAGAACGCAAGATTTCGTTATTTTAAAGCCCCGATTCGGCTGTTGCCGAGGGCCCTGCCTATGGGTTGACTGGGGTTTCCGGGACCTTTCCCGGGTGATCCTCATCCGAATGGTAGCTCAGTGTGATGTCCTGGTGTGGTTGAACGTCAGTCAGTCAACGACATAACTAAATGAGTTGAGATTCGTCCTGTTCTAATGTGGGAAGCAAATTTTCGTCGAACTTTGGCACTTTATGTCACCGGATGTTGGTCGCTCGTTGTACGGTCCTGGTAGGAATCAACGACACATAGACCTAAAAGACTAGTCTACCACCTTCAGTACCTTGGAACATGGACTTCAAATACTTATGGTTAGCCGATGGCACTTTGGAATATAGATCCCACATACTAGACTCTACTTACGTGTGACTGGAAATATTTTTTTTTAACGACCAGAGCCTTAGAGAATCGGTCATATATATTTGTTTTCGTCAAAATCATCTTGAAAATAGGCCTCAAACACTGTCAAAACCTTCCGGTGCCTGTTTCCATGGTCCTCAAGGCTGCGTTTTAGGCAAAAGAAACACCAGCCACGCGTGGCTATTCTCGTTGACACTGGGGGATCAATAACACATTTCCTCTTGTGAAAATTCCTAAGGATTAATGTGTTTGTACAGGCTGGCTTTGGAATTGGGAAAAGACAAAAGGAATAAGTTAGCAAGTCTTCTTCTTCTTCTTCTTCTTTTTAGCGTTCACCAGCTGTAAACTTCGGTGGAAAGTTCTGGTTGTTCGTCCATTTCTGGACTGCAGCCCTATTCCAGAACCTGAGTTATGCGTGTGCATCCGTTTGACAGACCTGACTCATTTGTGTGCAGACTGTTGGTTCCTTGCCTCTCAGGCAGATGCACTCCGACTTCGAAATATGCTCCCATTTAGTCGACTCTTACGCCATTCTTTCGGATAGGCCGTGGATCTATTCTTATTTTCCCTATAGTTTAAAACAGCTTTTAAGGGACGTGTCATTTTCAGATACGGTCGAGATCTGATGAAATAAGTTCTCCTCTGGTTGGTTGTCTAATTTAGTTAATGATTACTGAACAGATTTCCTGCACTGATATCTGTGCATTCTCATTTTGATCAGGGTCATTCTTTAGCAAAAGGGTAGCTACATAAGTTGTGTAGCTTCCTCCCAGTATATGTAACAACAGACTTACTGGCTTAGAAGTTAGTGAATGCGTTTAACAATGTCATCATGTCGACTACTGTGGTTTGACTACCGCTACGGAGGGTTAATTTTTATTGTAACTGTTCCCATGGTTTTCACACAGTGATAGGAGAGTCGCACTGTGGAAGAAATCCCATGGTTTTCACACACAGTGATAGGAGAGTCGCACTGTGGAAGAAATCCCATTGTTTTCACACAGTGATAGGAGAGTCGCACTGTGGAAGAAATCCCATGGTTTTCACACAGTGATAGGAGAGTCGCACTGTGGAAGAAATCCCATGGTTTTCACACAGTGATAGGAGAGTCGCATTGTGGAATAAATTGGGGCCTGGCCAAGCTGCATTTCTAAATTTTTCAGCGACTATAGTGCAGCCAACTTACACTGTGGAGATAGAACACACAATTTCAAAACTCTATCGACAATAGAATACGCCAGCGTAGTGCTTGGTAGGAGCTCAGAGACGCAGCAGAGAGAGAGAGAGACCGAAGTAGTTAGGATAAATCCTAGTGCAATGTCATTAATCATCTTTAAACTCTAAGTTGCACCCTATACCTGAAAATGAAACATGTGTACATGTGTTTTACAGTCATTTCTGCTATAATTATCTTATAGTTTGTGCATTTAATTGAAACAGAATATTTTTTCTATGTCCCCATCTGTGCTCCCCCCCCCCCCCCCCCCCCCCCTTTCTCCCCGAGAATTTTTTAGGCAGTTCATGTTTTGCTAGCTCTTGTATTTTCCTCTTTTGAGATTGCAAAAGCAAGTTTTATAATTTCCCATGTAGTCGCTAGGATCGGGAATCCCCTGTTTTTTACTGCTATTTACATATGCTTACCAGAAGGTCGCAAACTATCCCCAGCATTTATTAGGTGTCATCTAGTTTTAATTAGGAAAAACTGAGATCAAGGCAGCCATTAGAACCTATTAAAATGCTTTTCATCCAGCACACAATCATGAAGAACCCGTCAACTTTCTCAACCGAAAGAAACTGACAATTATATTTAGACCACGTACTTCTACAGCTATTTAGACAAGAAATTCAACACAGCGGATTCGGAACTTTGCCCATGTGGACAAACACCACAGAATACAGAACATATGCTAGAGACATGCAGCAGAGAGATCCCAGTTTGGCAGATTGGCATTCCAGTGGAAACCAAGCTGTATGAAACAGTGATAATTCACACTGGCCTGTTGGCTTCTTATCTAAAATCCTCGCATAGTGAGAATGAAAAGAAGAAGACTATGCAATTCTATGTCCAGCTGCTTCCTGTTGCCTTCAAGGCGATACTAGGTTGATATCGTTGACAAAATCAAAGCAGATATGGCTTCTACCAAAATACTAGCAGCTGAGTTCGAACCCCAAAACTGCAGGTTTAACTTTTTTAACAGCGCCAAAGCAATAGCCATTAATGTCCCAGATAGAGGACGCTGAAATCATACTGTAAATATTTTCCATACTGGAGAGATATCAAGAAAAACAATCTCAATCCAAACGATAAGGATAATTAGTTAGCTAGTAGAAAGATCTCAAGTTTGGCCGGTTGGCATTCCAGTTGAAACCAAGTTGAACAGTGGAAGACACTAGTCGCACCACAGACCTAATAGTGGCATGTGGCTTTCTCATCTGAAAACCACCGACAGGGAGAACGAAAATAATAAACTTTACAATACCACATCACGAGTAAGAAAATGAACGTCACGACTAGAAGCCTTCATCAGCACCCTAATATGTAATGGTACAGCTACAGTACTAGAGTGGAAGTCCTGATAAACTTTATGGTCTGAATGTGATAGTCTAGTTCAAATGTGACCTTCTAGGAAGTTTGAAGATACTGGCTGGTCTAGCAACCCGACAGTGATTTACTGAGTGCTCGTAGAAAAATGAAGAGATCTCACGACAGATAGCAATGTTATTTAGCTACAACGGTAACAGGCCACGCAGAACATGGACCGCGGAAGTATTAGAGACACTGAAAAGTACGGTACACGAACCGAACAGAATGGACCGTTGACAAGATCTCCAGTGTTGCCACTTTTCATTGACAGAAAACATCCAAAATGGAGTCAAATATATATATATAAACATTTAAATTTGCGTGGAAAACATCTATTAAAAAAAACATCCAACTGGAAAGAGTTACAAATTACATAGCAATTGATATGACTTAACCTATAGAATCATGTCCTCATCTTAACTGAAGTCTGCCTTACAAGATACACAGGATAAACTTAGCTTGGATGATGAAGTTGAAGCTTTAGATCCAAAATGACTCTGGTATGCTTTAGCTGTTCCAGTTTCTTTTAATACCCAATCAGGGAGCTGATAAGTGGAACAGTCTTTTACTACTTTTATCAGGCAGAATTGTATTGTCAAGATAGCATTTAAGAGGTCAAATTTCATCCTGTTTCTTAGGTTAGATTTGATAAATTCACTCCAAATAAAAAAATTTTGAAAAACATCTACCATCTAAACGTCAAAAACGCCATCTAAATGCAAAGGAAAACATTTAAATCTGGATGTAAAACATCCAAAGTGGCAACACTGGAGATCTCTTCCTGCCCTGACGCCACGAGGCATTCCAGTCCAGAAGTACAGACAAGAAGAAGGTATAGTTACAAATTAGAATACATAACAGCACAGGAAAGACGTATATCCTTGAGTACAACACAGTTTCTTATTAATCATTTAAGCACATCCAGGACACACACAGCATGACATAAATTCATTTTCCCATGATTTAAGTTCTATAAGGTGGAAACTGAGATACAAAAACATTTCTTATTGCAAGTCTTTGCTTCATAACTTGAGCAGTTGTCATCAAGAAAGTCGCAGAACTCAACGGAGGCTCCGACTGAAAATTACCTCAGCTGTTATGAATGTGGTTTGGTTGTTTCAGATGAATGTTCTGTGGATTTTATGTTCGCAAGAAAATAAAATAAAAAATAAAAAAACACACTCTTTTGTAATCCAAAGAGCTGAAGGTAAAATTGTGTTGAGAAACGTATAGAAACGTGACACATCTGTGTGAACTGGTTGTAGCAAGACGGTGGTGGACAGTGTTATCAACATGTCCCGGCTGGACGGTACTCTTTCACAATGAAAGAGAAGTGTATATCCCAGTCCCATTTCTTCTCTTTCACACTGAAAGAGAAGTGTATATCACAACCCCATTCTTTCTCTTTCACACTGAAGGAGATGTGGATATACCATTCCCATTTACTTCCTATAATTATACGGTATTTCCATAACTGTGTGCACATATAATTAATTTCTTATGACAACGAGTTAATTAAACCACATACCTTTCCCCAGCACTGCATTCTAGAGTTCGCGTCTTGGACATACGACAATAATGGTTTGAACCTAGTCACTTACGGTGGCCCTGAAGGAGATGTATCCAACTACAAGAACAGCACGGAGTGGGAGCTAGTTAGTTTTATGCAGGAGAGAGTGGTGAGTGTACTTTAAAGGGCAAAGTGGTGAGTTTGTAATTCAGTATTTTGTTCTCTTGTGTACATCATTGAGGTCACGGGTGTTGCATTTCTTCCAGATGTAAAGATACGCCCTTATGTGACTAGATTTTAGTCGTGTGTGAGGGGGGGGGGGGGGGGAGTTATATTGTGTGTGTGGGGGAGGGGGTGGTGGTGGGAATCTCAGAGAGTTTGGAAATATAATTAAGCAAAATAATTAAACAAAATTTTATTGTTCATTCCATTTGTTACAATGGATGCCAACCCCCAATACTTGTAAGCCACTCATCGGGGTTGTCTATGTTAAATAAATTTTGTAAATGCTTTGTTATGCGGCATACAATCTAGTTTCATGAACAGAGGCTTACACTGGTTGTACAGCCAGGAAACATTAGTGTCGATCATAACGAGATAATAAACACATCAATATGTATGCAAATTACAAACAGCATGCTCGTTTAGACACTACTGGAAGCATTGCTAGAGCAGCAGTCAATAAAGTAGAAATGCGGACGGAGAAGAAGGAGCAGAAGAAAAAGAAGAAGAAGAAGACAAGAAAGGGACGATGTTCATGATGACAATGATGTGATGATATGATGACAACGACGACGATGATAGCAGTGAAGATGTGGTGATGATATGAAACAAGCAAAAGATGATGATGTTGATGATGATGATGATGATGATGATGATGATAATGATGATGATGATGATGATGATAGTCTCGATTAGGAGGAGGGAGAGAAGGAGGAATACATACCGTACATTTTTACTGTTCACGCCCTCCGTAAAATTTTGCTATGGAGATAAATGAGCATGAAAACGAAAGCAAAAGAGAAAACCCCGAGATCCACCGTGATAAAGCTAATGCCTGATTGTATGGCTTTTTTGCTCATAGAATATTGGATTATACATAAATACGTTATTTTCCTAGAAATGTTTTCCCGTTTGTTTTTATTGATTTGTTCTTGTTTCTGACAACATACTGTGGCCAATTGTGCGTCTGGGTAGTTTGTATCTGTTTGCCTCTATAAATAAAAAGTTGCCTTGGTGGGATTCGGTTGCATTCCGTGCTAACTAAAACATGTATTTTTAATAGCCGTGCTTATCCCAAAGGAAGACTGAAGCATCAAAGCTTAAAATGTCCCCCCCCCCCCCCCCCCCCATCTCAAAACCTTTAACACAGCTAATTGAACAAAGAAGACACGAAGAATAGATTGCACAATTTAGTGCTTGTCATATTCCGCTGAATCTCATCAGGTGCATACTACAGTAAAAATTAATTAACATGATGCGTGTCACTGAATCCTTCGTAATGAAACACAAAATCGACTACATTCGCAAACTGGCTGTTTCACCAGGGTAACCGCAAGGCGAAAATCATTTCTTTCTGTCTGCATACATCTGGATTAATCCGGCTGATAGGTTAGGTGTAACATTTAACTTACTTTCGATAGCATTTACTAAAAAACAACTACCATTTGTTATTTTTAGCTAATTTCTTCTACTTGTGCCATCGGAATTGGAACTCTTTGCTTGCTGCTGAAGATGGAGACGGATCGCTTATGGGTGTGTCCCGAGTGCTATAATGTCGATTCCTAATTCTACATTCAACATTATTTCTCATTTCTTCCTGTCCCCCTTTCAAAAATTGTTGTAAATGCCCAATACCCCTTAAGGGGTGGAGAAGGATCCTTTACTTCGTTACTCAAGTTAATTTTAAACACTGACACTTACATTGACTTGTCCTACATTCCCATACATGTTCGAGTATGTTTTCCAGGTTGTCAAATTTTCCTGTTGTGAAGTGCCATACGTCTTTGT